GAGCAGTTGTGCTAATGGAAATGCCATGATAAAGTTATAGTCATATGATTACTGAGATTGAGCTCTTCTATTTGTCTTCCATATTTACAGAAGTGAAAAATTCCATTCCCTTGATTATGCAGAGAACCTACAAATACACTAGGGCACTATTAACATAAGAAGAAATGGAACAGTTATTTCCTCTCTTACCAATTCACTTTTCTAAAAAATCGAAAAGATGAAATCAATGATAGATTTCAAAGAACATTCTAGAACCTACGAAAGTAGAGTACAGTAAAAGTGAGGTTAAAAATCATTCACAATATCTAACTCTTGAGAATTGGGTAGTTAGGGTTAAGAATAAAAATGATATAAAACTGACTTTTAAGAAATGACTTAGAATGCTTTTCTGTCACATACTGACTGGAGTGATTGATGATGCCACGACCACTGACAATGGGAATTTGAGATGTGAATCACTTTTGATGCAGTAGGTTCAGACTCAGATCATCTGTAAATGAACTTGTGTTGCTGTTTCTTAATTTTATACATTAACATTTAAATTCCAGAAATATAATTTGCACCAGTATTGAATTTCAGCTTACATTCTGTTAGTAGAGGTTTAATGAATGCTTTGTTACCTAGTTATATCGATGGCCTGAAATCCTTAAAACACAGGGAAAAGCACATACCAGCAGTTTTCAGCCTGTCTTTAAAAAACATTAGCCTTATAAAAATCAATCTGTTGTGATTCCTTAAAATAGTTGTTCTTTCAAGGCAACTAAACAACTGCCTTATGAAACTGGTAATTTATAACAGTATAACTTTGTTCCCATCCTCAATAATAATAATAGGACAACATGAATATATTCTTTGATAATTTCCATCTTGTTTCATTTCAACCTAATATTAAAGCTCAGCGAATGCGGGATCATCGTTTTGCCTTAATCTTCTTCTGTTTTCCCTCTGTGACCTGTTCAGCAGTACAGACTAGTTGGAGAAGGTACATGGAAGCAAACGTAAGCCTGCATTGACATTTACTGCATCAGTAGACAGAGCTACACATTCCCCAAGAAGCTGAGAACAGTCCTGGAAGGGAAAGGGCTTATTGCATTTGTCCTTGTGCACCTGCTTCCTGGGAAAGTTCCCATGATATTAAATTGCTGAGTGAATGAAAGAGTGAAAATCTTTTAGAACCAACATGGCATAAACAGTTGTGAAGCAGCCTTTCCATTCTTGCTTTCACTTCTTGGACCCTTACAAATCAGCATCTTCATCATTCTTTGTTGGAACACTGCCTTCTCTTCATCTTTTTAGAGGATCGTACAAAAGTTGGAGCAGGAGGTCTACACACTCTTGGCATGTTAATGACAAATAACTTCCAGGACTTCTATTCAATTTAAGGATTTATGTCTATGGAAATCAATTTTATTTTTAATATTCTCAAGTGAAGTCAATCCTTATTATTAGCCAATTCTGTATTTGTGCATTCACCTACTTGCTAAAATTTATTTTCAACCCCCAAATCAATACTGTCAGCAAGGACATTCATAGATGTGCACAGACAGGGGAAAAGGTGAGTTGCCCAATGCTAACATTCCCAACAAGGTTGGACAAGGCTACGCCCTGTCTTCTTGTTTCAGCTCCCATTCCAAAACAAATGTTCCTTCTGTGGTCTACTAAGCTTCCTGCCATCTCTTTCACACTTTTGTATTTTTTGTTGGTGATTTTGCTTTTTAAGAAGGCCCACAAGCACAGGACCGAAATTCTGTCTTCTGTGCCTGCTGCAAGAGGGTCATGATGTGCCTTATGGAGAAAAAGAAGTGTGTTAGAAAAGCATGAGTTATAGTGCTGTTAGCCATGATTTCATTGTTAAAATGAATCACCAGTATATATTAAGTAAGGTGTGTTTAAATACAGACACCTGTAAAACAGGTTAATACACATCTGTTGATGGAAATTTTGTGACCAGAGACTTGTAGGAACCTAACCACATATTTTCCCCAGGACCAGTGGCTCAGTATTTGTTTATTCAGTGTTTGTGGCAGCTTTGAAGAATGTGTCCATCATAAATAAGGACAATTCAAAGTAGATGGTACTGTGATTTCAATTTTACAGAAGAGGAAGCAGAGGTCAAATAAGGTAAGCAGTGGTTGGCAAGAGATCTTATTACTGGAAGTAGCACAATTGGGACTTCTGAATATTTGGAACTTTTTTTATAACTTTTTATTACAACAGATACCTTAGTGTGTGTGTGTGTGTGTGTGTGTGTGTGTGTGTGGTGGAGAGGGGCTAGGTGTTCAGGGACATAGCATTTCTTTAAAAGTATTTTTTAAAGGTGAAGGATAGGAGATATCAAATCCTAAAAAAATAATGAATAGCTTAATACATTATATTTGGGTAAATGTGATTCAATATTTGTTGAAGGTTTTATACTATTCTGTAAATGAATGTTAATTGCTGTTTGACCCTCAGATATTCCTTAGAAGCCAGATATCCCTTAGACATACAGATAATGAGTTAGGCCCTGGAAATACTATCACTGTGGCATTATCCATAGCTTTTCCCATGAGATTTCTTTGGAAATAAGTAATGGTCTGTAAATGCACCCTAGTGATTTTTCTTTTTTGTTTTTTTTAAACCTGTAATTCTTTTAATGAAACTGTCTCCATAGACTCATTTTCTTTCACACACAGGATGATGGATAAACATAACTGCCTATGGGTGGAAGGAATTTTTTACGTGAGTGTTTCAAGGTCAGAAGGCTTTAAGAAGACATATTTTCCTGCCAGCTTGCTTAGTAGGGTCACGCCTTTTCTTGGTACTCTAAAAACTTAGAAGGCAATTAAGCTATGAACTGTTTGACTCCACTTGCTTGCCTGTAACCAACAGGTCTACATTGTTAGAGAATATGCCTCATGGCAGATGGTTTTTAAAAACTTCCTGGTAGTAATAATTTGAACTGCCCGTCCTTCCATTCCATTGCATTCATTCTTTAATTTTAATAAGGCAATAATTCTTAGAAAAATAGAAAAAGATGCACAAGCATTAAAGAGTGCATTTCAGTGTTTATATATTAATAATCTGCACTATGGTACTATGTGAGATATAACCTGACATGAGAAATGCTTTTATATCCTGGGTTGAGAGGTTTCTAGTATTCTTAGGATGCTGGAATACAAAGAGAAAGCTTTCTTACAAAGTATTGGTATGAACGAGAGTGGCTTTAGTAGAAGTGGACTAACTGTATAACTGGCCCTAGTTAGGTCTTATGAAAATACCTTGAGATACGTTATCCTAGACCATTATTTACTATCTCCAACCTTCATTTTTTTAATAAAATGGGGATGATTTATCTTCTTTACAGAATTATTGTGAGGAATAAATTAAGAGACACATAAAGTGCTTAGCACAGGGCCTGACACATCGTAATTGTTTCACACAGCTTGTTATTTTGTTGCTCATGGTATTATTATCACAGGAGTAAACACGAAAAGTGCAGAGGACCAGCAGTTCAGCCCAATATTTATCTTTACCAAGAACACTTAACTCTTACTGTAAGTTAGGAATATGAGCAGAAAGAGCCTTTCATATGCATGGCATTAAGATGTCACATTGGACAATGTCATTTATTAAATTTATAACCCAGCACCACTCTAGATTGACTGGTTTCGGAATGGCTGAAAAATATAATAGTTTTATTTAAAATGCATATAGCAGAGTGGCAGTAGCATTGCAAATGGTTACATTTTCACCTCTGAGATGCCATTTAAAATGCTTTCTTACTATGCCTAGCATATTTGCCTATTGGAGTTTTGTTGAATCCTGATGGATTGATTATTTCTTTAGCCAGGAACACCCACGGGAAAATTTCTGACTCCCAAAGTCTGTAGGCAGAAAACTCAGTGTCTGCTGTGTACCCAATCATATCCAGAATCTGTTAGGTATACTTGACATAGACATAGATATTGACAATAAGAAAGTGAGCTTTTTCTATATCAATTTCCAGTGTTTCACTGAATGATTGGAAAGTTAAGTATTATTTTGTTGAAAGGATATACATAATGACACGTGAAACTGTCTTTTGTAAAATAGGCCTGGCTATATTATTATTAAAAGAGGAGTGACAAATTAATAATTCAAAATGTGAGCTCAGATAAACTGAATAACATGGCCCATTTCTCTGTGATTTTCACAGTATATTTCAAAAGTATATAGGAATTTTTCTTGTTAAAGTCACATTTTAGGTTATCCAGTCACATTAAAGTTATCTTTCTCTTGTTAAAATTACATTTCCCTTCAACACTTATCCTTTTATTATCCCTTATTTCCTTAATTCATCTGACTTCTTCACAATTGTTTTCTTACCTAAAGAGTAGCTTTACGAAAATTAAGTAAAGGAGATGTGTTCTGTGTTTTACAAATCTCCATTGATTGACATGAGAATTGTGGTTGTATCACTCTGTTCCCATCCCCATTTTGTTATCTTCCTTCTGCTTGTAAAACCAAAATAATCTCTTCTCAGCTTCCTTTTAAACTCAAGCTGGCCTTGTGATCTAATTCTGGTCAATGAGATACAAATAAAATTCTTCTAGAAAGCTTCTGGTAAAGATTCCTGTTTCCTGATAAAAGAGATAAGACACCTGGTAGTTGCTTCCTGGTACAACTCTCCACTTCTTCTCTTCTTGAACAGGTATCTGATGTTTGATGTACAGCAGTCTTCTTATCACCATGAGGTAGTAAGAAGAGTCATTATGGCAAAGACAGCATTACAGGAGTCCTGGGTATTTGGAGGCATCATTATGTTGCTGAATCAATCCAGAGACCACCTACATCCACACTACTTATTGACTAAATAATAATTATCTTTATGGTTTAAATCCTTGGGAGTTGGGTTTCTTGTTACATATAGTGTAGAACATCTATTACTAATATAAGTACTGAGTTAATTAACTATCTGAAGCTTCCAACAATTTTGTGTCCTTTTTTATTATGAGAACCACTGGTAAGAAAAACTATATGTGCTTGCTTCAGCAGTATATATACTAAAAATGAAATAATACAAAGAAGATTAGCAGGGCCCCTGCACAAGGATGACACACAAATTCGTTAAGTGTTTCATATTTTTACTGCTCTAGATGGAAGTGCTCTTAAGGCTAAATAGCTGTCACCAGAGAAAATAAAATCACTGTAAAGGAAGCAGACCAGTTAAATACAAAGCAAATGCAAAATTAAATCAGCTACCCAAAAAGTCAGTCAAGGGATACACAAAGAGCACAGAATATGACACCTAACATATAAATAAAGAGTGAAGGAGGAAGAAAAAGAAGGGAGGAAGAAAAAAAACCTGTAGATTGTGTTGGAAATAGTATGATAAGTGAGTTAAGTTAGACTATTAGATAGTAAAGAAGCTGCCCTTGAACCTTTGGTAAACATCAATCTAAAGCCTGCAATGGCAATAAGTACATATCTATCGATAATCACCCAAAATATAAATGGACTGAATGCACCAATCAAAAGACATAGAGTTACAGAATGGATAAAAAAGCAAGACCCATCTATTTGCTGTCTACAACAGACTCATTTCAAACCCAAACACATAACAGGCTTAAAGTGAAGAGATGTTAAAAGATATTTCATGCAAATAATAGGGAGAATAAAGCAGGAGTTGCAGTACTTGTATCAGAGAAAATAGACTACAAAATAAAGAAAGTAACAAGAGACAAAGAAGGACATTACATACTAATAAAGGAGTCAGTCCAACAAGAGGATATAACCATTATAAATATCTATGTACCCAACACAGGATCACCTACATATGTGAAACAAATACTAACAGAATTAAAGGGGGAAATAGAATGCAATGCATTCATTTTAGGAGACTTCAACACTTCACTCACTCCAAAGGACAGATCAACCAGAGAGAAAATTAGTAAGGAGACAGAGGCACTGAGCAACATATTAGAACAGTTGGACCTAACAGACATCTACAGAGCACTCCACCCAAGAGCAACAGGATACAAATTCTTCTCAGGTATACATGGAACCTTTTCCAGAGTAGATCACATACTAAGCCACAAAAAGAGCATCAGTAAATTCAAAAAAATTGAAATTATACTTACCAAATTCTCAGATCACAAAGGAATGAAACTAGTGCAAAGAAACCAAAGGTGCACAAACACATGGAGGCTTTACAACATGCTCCTAAATAATCGGTGTATCAATCACCAAATAAAAAGAGAGATCAAGCAATGTATGGAGACAAATGAAAACAACAGCTCAACACCCCAGCTTCTGTGGAATACAGCAAAGGCAGTTCTAAGATGAAAGTATATAGCAATACAGGCTTATCTGAAGAAAGAAGAACAATCCCAAATTAAAGGTCTAAACTCACAATTAATGAAAATAGAAAAAGAAGAACAAATGAAGGTCAAAGCCAGTAGAAGGAGGGACATAATGAAGATCAGAGAAAAAATAAATAAAATTGAGAAAAATAGAATAGAAGAATTAATGAAACCAGGAGTTGATTCTTTGAGAAAATAAACAAAATAGATAAATCCCTAGCCAGACTTATCAAGAAAAAAAGAAAGTCTACATACATAAACAGAATCAGAAATAAGAAAGGAAAAATGTCTACAGACAGCACAGAAATACAAAGAATTATTAGAGAATACTAAGAAAAATTATATGCCAACAAACTGGATAAGCCAGAAGAAATGGACAACTTTCTAGAAAAATACAACCTTCCAAGGTTGACCCAGGAAGAAGCAGAAAATCTGAACAGACCAATTACCAGCAAGGAATTTGAATTGTTAATAAAAAAAACTACCCAAGAACAAAATTTACAGACCAGATGGCTTCACTGCTGCATTTTATCAGACATTTAGAGAAGACATATCTATTCTCCTTAAAGTTTTCCAAAGAATAGAAGAGGAGGGAATATTTCCAAACTCATTCTATGTTGCCACCATCACTCTAATGCCAAAACCAAGCAAAGACAACAACAAAAAAGAAAATTACAGACCAAAATCCCTGATGAACATAGATGCAAAAATACAAAATATTAGCAAACTGAATTCAAAAATATATCAAAAAGATCATCCATCATGATCAAGTTGGATTTATGCCAGGGATGCAAGGATGGTACAACATTTGAAAATACATCAACATCATCCACCACATCAACAAAAAGAAGGACAAAAACCACCTAATCATTTCCATAGATGCTGAAAAAGCATTTGACAAAATTCAACATCCATTCATGATAAAAACTCTTAACAAAATGGTATAGAGGGCAAGTACCTGAATATAATAAAGGCCATATATGACAAACCCACAGCCAACATTATACTCAACAGTGAGAAGCTGAAAGCTTTTCCTTTTAGATCGGGAACAAGACAAGGATGACCACTCTCCTCACTTTTATTCAACATAGTACTTGAGGTCCTAGCCATGGCAATCAGACAACACAAAGGAATAAAAGGCATCCAGATGGATAAGGAACAAGTTAAACGTTCACTGTTTGAAGATGACCTGATATTATACATAAAAAAAACCCTAAGGAATCCACTCCAAATTACTAACTGAATTCAGCAAAGTTTCAATATATAAAATTAATACACAGAAATCTGTTGCATTCTTATATGCTAACAATGAACTGCTAGAAAGAAGAATCAGGAAAACAATTCCATTCACAATTGCATCTAAAAGAATAAAATACCTAGGACTAAACCTAACCGAGGAGGTGAAAGACCTATACCCTGAAAACTGCAAGACACATTTTAGAGAAATTAAAGACACCAAGAAATGGAAATGTATCCCATGCTCATGGGTAGGAAGAACTAATATTGTCAAAATGGTCATCCTGACCAAAGCAATCTACAGTTCAATGCAATCTCTATCAAAATAGTGACAGCATTCTTCAACGAACTAGAACAAATAGTTCTGAAATTCATAGGGAACCACAAAAGACCCTAAATAGCCAAAGCAATCCTGAGAAGGAAGAATAAAGCTGGAGGGGATTATACTCTCCAACTTTAAGCTCTACTACAAAACCACAGTAATCAGAACAATTTGGTACTGGCTTAAGAATAGACCCATAGATCAATGGAGTGGAATATATGGCCAATTAATATATGATAAAGGAACCATGGATATGCAATGGGGAAATGACAGCTTCTTCAACAACTGTTGTTGGCAAAACTGGCAGCCACATGTAAGAGAATGAAACTGGATTATTGTCTAACTCCATACACAAAAGTAAACTAAAAATGGGCCAAACACCTGAATGTAAGTCATGAAACCATAAAACTCTTAGAAGAAAACATAGGCAAAAATATCTTGAATATAAACACGAGCAACTTTTTCATGAACACACTCAGACAAGGAAAACAAAAGCAAAAATGAACAAATGGGACTACATCAAACAAAAAAGCTTCTATACAGCAAATGACACCACCAGCAGAACAAAAAGGCACTCTGCAGTACGGGAGAATATATTCGTAAACGACATATCTGGCAAGGAGTTAACATCCAAAATATATAAAGAACTCACACCTCAACACCCAAAAAGCAAATAACCTGATTAAAAAATAGGCAGAGGATCAGTCACTTCTCCAAAGAAGAAATTCAGATGCCCAACAGGCACATGAAAAGATGCTCCACATAGCTAATCATCAGGGAAATGCAAATTAAAACCACAGTAAGATATCACCTCACACCAGTTAGCAACATCCAACATCCAAAAGACAAGCAACAACAAATGCTAGCAAGGATGCTGAGAAAGGGGAACCCTTCTACACTGTTGGTGGGAATGTTAATTAATTCAACCATTGTGGAAAACAATATGGAGATTCCTCAAAAAAACTGAAAATAGAAATACCATTTAACCCAGGAATTCCACTCCTAGCAATTTACCCAAAGAAAACAAGATCTGAGATTCAAAAAGACACATGCACTCCTATGTTTATCGCAGCACTATTTACAATACTCAAGAAATGGAAGTAACTTAAGTGTCCATCAGTAGATGAATGGATAAAGAAGAGGTGGTACATATATACACAATGGAATATTATTCAACCATTAGAAGAAAAGAAATCTTACCATTTTCAACAACATGGATGAAGCTAGAGGGTATTATGTTCAGTGAAATAAACCAGGAGGAGAAAGACAAGTACCAAATGATTTCACTCATCTGTGGAATATAACAAGAAAGGGGTATGTGGGGTGGACTTGATAATATGGGTGACTGTAGTAACCACAATGTTGCTCATTAGAAACCTTCATAAGGTTGTATATGAATTGTATAAAAATAAAGAAAAGAAAAACTGTATCATTCTCTGCAGAACTTACAGCGTGTAAACTTCAGCTTTTGTGATGAACTGGATAAAGTATAAGTGAAAACTTAAAGTCTCAATATAGATGACATCAGAAGTTTATAAATAAGTTATATATATATATATATAGGGAAGAGAGAGAGATGAGAGTATAACCCAATAATCTTCCTCTTGGAGGACTTAGTTCTCATCTAAGGCATTCATAATACTGGTTTATATTTATCAGCATCTAGAATGTAGGTGTCATTTTAACATTTACTGCCATTCACACAGCTCACACAGTGTGTACTCACAGTGATGGAGCACTGTGCCAAGGCATGAGAGACATCGTGAAGGTGAGTCTTCGTGACTCTAAAATTGATGTGCTGCATGGCCTCAGGCATGACATTCAATCTCCTTGTCTCAGTTTTCCCTATCTGTAGACAAAGTAATTCTTGCACAAAATATTCCTTCAAAGGCTATTGAAAGGATTATTAAAAGAACACTGTGAGTCCATTGGAGAAAAAAATATGTACAAAGGTAGAAAATTTTAGTTATTTTGGAGAAAATGGAGAAATGGAGTATAGAGAAAAAGAGACAGGTTGCCTTGAGGTCTTACATGGCCTGAAATGGCAACTCAGAAAACAACGCTCTCAAGATGGAGTCAGTTACAGGCCTGCTTGCTGACCCTCTACAGTGCAGAAAGGCAGAGGATACCATGCTTGTTCCTGGTGGTGCATTGAGGAGACACGGGAAGACAGAGCTGCCACCTCAGGCTTTTCCATGAATACGTGAGAAAGAGAATGCAATAAGG